GATATCTTTACTAAGGCACTAGGTGGACGTCAATTTGAGCTTATTCTTGGCAAGTTGGGCATTCAAAATTTGCATGCTCCAACTTGAGGGGGGGTATTGGAATGTGATCTGTATATTGTCTTTGTATAGCAAGTGAATATTAGTTTCCTGATTTAGGCTGATGCTTTTTCCTTCTTTGGTTGCTTTGTTTCTTGATTATAGGGATGTAATACTGTTATATATTGAAAGGTTTCGGTAAATAAAGGATAACGAAGCAAAAGCTTGATTCTGGAAAATATTGTTTTTACACCAGCACTGTTTATAATTTTACTTCATTTGCTCGCCATTCTCCTTTCGTATTGATTTTCCAATAAAATTTAATCGGAGTATGCTCATACTATAGTCCATCAGTATTGGAAAAGTCTAAATCATGAGGGTGTGTTTGATGTGTTGTACTTTATAAGAACAACATACTGCCAAATTAGGTAATTTGTTGACGAGTTTTTAAATTCTTATTGTAAGAGTTTTTAATAAATGATTTACTTTAAGTTAAGCTAAAATTATGTTTTTAAATGCTTGTTTAAAAATTTAATTAAAAAATAAATATGAATTAATATAATGTGATGCTCAAAACATTATGTCATGTTCTATATAGCATTATATGGTATTATTTAGTGCAATTAACAATTTTATACGATATAATAAATATTATCCTATAGAGTTTGACGCACCAAACATGGCCCGAATCTTAATTATTTCTAAATGTTACATTTGTCTTTCTTTATTTTTATTTCAAAATAATTTTTTTATGAATTCATTTATTTTTCACTACAAGAAATGTAAAAAAAAGGTGAGGAAACTTTTCGTTAAAGAAAGTGAAAAATTCGTCCTAAAAAGTAATGTGGGATGACAAACCATATCGTCCCCAAAGCCGCATTACCAAAGGGTAATGTCCACGAAAAAAAAAATCGTCCCCAAAGCCAATATTAAAGATTATTTATTTTGTGGCAAAATTTTTTGTCCACAAAAGAATAACTATTTGTCCCAAATAATATTGTTTTGTCCAAAAAAAGCATAATTAGGGACAGAAAATTTTGTCCCGGATTAGGTAGATAATCGGGGACAAATGTTTTCGTCATTGTCTATGTAGTGAATTGGGGACGAAAATTTTCATCCCTGATTGTGTCAAGATTTGGGGATGAAAGATTTGAGGATAAAATATTTCGTCTTTTCTTTTATAATGAATTACAAGAGAATTTGTTCCTAATTAAAAATTAACACATGTATTGATTCTCAAAGTCAAAAAATTCATATGAAACATATTTTTAATTAAGTAAAAATTATTGATCAATGTCAAATTGATACTACTACAAATCAACAAATAACCAAGTAATAACAAAATCTTATATATCTATACATGTATCATAAACACATCCAATTGTAACTAATATATAAACAAAAAATATAGAATGTATCAATCATTAGTGTAAAATAACTATACTTTCTTTGTTAGTTGGATGTCAAAATATGTACTATTTTCTTCACTACTTGGATGTCAAAAAAGGTACTACTCCTATAGTAATTGCATGTCAAAAGAAGCAAAAAAGCGGATTGTTAAAGCTGTTGGACATTTACGTATATCCATGTCGGACAAGTCTGCAACAATCATTATTAACAATTACTCAACTATATATTTGTCTAAAGTTAACATAAAACATTAGGGAGACATATTGCTAATGATTTTTACCTTCAAGGAGTAGGTGGATGATTTCCAGCAGCAAGCCACGTCTCAAACATCCTTTCTTGTTTTTCTAAGCTTAAGGTTAGTTCATATTCACCTACTTTCTCTTTATATTTGAGATTTCTCTCCTCTGATTCTCTAAATCTATCTTCAAATTCTTTAAGAGCATCTGCAAGTCTCTTAATTTGAAGTGGAGAAGAAATTCGGTCGAATAAAGGAAGCTTAACTGTCGCATGAATCTGGGAATGTCTTGGGTGATGATGGCCGACAATTGGAGAAGGAAAATAGTCGCCAGAGGTGGAAGTTGGACAGTCGCCGGAAAACGGATGAAGATGGGTGGACGTTTTTGGCTTTGCACAATCTTCCATCTTCTTTTTATACTATTTGTAAAAAAATTTAGCTTGGTCCCTACATGAATGAAAAGTGACAAATTAATCCCCAAATAATATAATATGGGACCCCTAAACAATAAAAATGAGACAAAATCAACCCCATTTCATGTTGGCAGGAATAATATTTTCTTTCGCGATAAATAATTGGGTTTATGATAACATTTTTAAAATGTTATTGTATTTTGATTATATGGTAACATTATAAAAAAGCTACTATATATATTATTAAGTCTATTGAAACACTTTAAAAATGCTACTGTGGATATATATTAATAACATTTTCAAAAAAAGAGTTACCATTGATATAAAATGTGTTATAAAAAATTTAGGAAAATTGTTATCATAACATTTTAACATTAAGTGTTACCATAGATAGTCTACGGTAACACTTTAAGGAAAACTGCTACCGTCTAGAGTTATTATAGGCCATTTTTGTTGTAGTGATGTCGGGATCCTTAAAGGTACCCACCACGCCTTCCTGCCATTTTCAGCCGATCCTCATTCACCACCTATACTTAATTTTCAATTTTTTATCTTGGGTCTCAATCAATTTCAGAGCAAAAGATTGAGATTCCCCAGCAAGCAAGTCTGGGTTTTGTTTCAAATAAAATAGAAAATAAATTGGGTGTTTTCACATTTACTTAGAACTAATAATATTTCCTCCCTAATTAGTTTTCCAAATTTCGTCCATAAAAATGTATTTTTCACAATCGAAGACAAAATCAGATTTCGTCCCTAATAAGTTTTCCAAATTTTATACGATTAGAGACATAAAATTTTGTCCCAGAAAAAAAAGTTTTTAGCTACAATTTTTTTTGTCCAAAAATAATAAATTTCGTCCCATAATTATTTCTCTCCATATTATTTCATCCTTCCCTCCATATGGTCGGCAAAATCAATTGTTGACGCGGGTTGGAAATTGAGTGCCAAGTATTTTTTTTATGAAATTACAATTTCATTCCCTAAAATGACCATTCTAGGACAAAATTGAATTTGTCCTTAAATTAAAAATTTGTTATAGTATTTTCTATCGAGGCTTATTGCATTTATCTTTAATAAGATTACTTAATATAAAACACATCTATTGTTATTAAATTTGAGTCATCAAATATCTTCTTAAAAAAAATCAAAAACCTTATTTAAAAGTATCCGAAACACCATTTTTCAATAATAGTATACGAATTTGTCTTATACAGTCTCAAGGGATTAAATAATATGCATCCCTTTTTTTTTTTTCTTTTATCTTGTCTTCCAATTTGTAATAATTTAGTAAAAATGAAAAAGCATTATATAAGTTTTTTCCTGCCTCCACTTTGTCATATCAATAACAAAAGACAAATAAGTAAATCTTAACCGAACNGTGAACCTATCACAAGTAACCCCATCCCAATTGCAGCAATCAATACCCTCTTTCCAGGAATTTGTCATAGAAAAACTTGAAATCGAAAAGGTGTTCTTGAAACGAAGAAGGGCAGAGCTTTGTTCAGGAGAGCAAAATTTCTGTAAGGGAGAAGAAGAGTTAAAAGAGGATGAACAAATAACTTGAAGATGGAAAAACAAGAAGAAGAGGCAGAGGACTAGATAATGCCAAAATAATCCCCACATCTTTTTCTTTCCAAGAAGAACAAAAGCAAATTTTGGATATGGGAAAATGAATATGAACATGTAGATATATATACACACATCCTCCGCATTTTCTTTCTTCTTTTTATGCAATTATTTACATATGCCAATGGGGTCCAACCAGAGTAGTTGAAATTGAATTTACCCCACATCGTCACACCCGACTATTATGGTATATATAAGTGGGCTCCCTCCTACATGCCCACTTTATCAACTAGCTTGTTCCCTACTACAAAGGCGAGTGACAATCACCTTTCTTTAATACAATAATGCAAGTTATTAGTAATCAACAGAACAAAAGAAAATCTCCCATAAAAATGAGGATTTAACCAAAAAAAAAAAAAATCTAATTTGACAAGAAAAAATATATAAAAAACAACACTTGGTTTTTAGTCAGTAGTCTTTTTCTCTTAGCCTGACAGCAAAGACTTATTTGGGTCAACTAAGAGTTTTCTACACGTTGTAATTGTAGGGCCATAAAAGTACAATAATCCTGCCCCAACACTTAAGGAGTCGGTATACATTCGCTATATATAAGTTGGAAATATAAATTGAGTTGTCACTTGTTATAGAATGCTTTTTGTCAAGTAAACGCCTCTCTTGGGGCAAAATGTCCCATGAGGTCGACCACCATGGGACCTGCTTTTATTAGGGCCGGGTTGGGTAAGTTATATCCTCTTGGTCTTCCATTACTTCCAAGAACATGTAGGAAGAGCTGTGACATTTTCGGACGCAAAATACCTGTCAAGACTAAAGTCAATATAAATGAATAAGCAACCGGAGGGATTCTAGGATATTGGAATCAAGCAGAAAGGTTATGCGTTTAGTTAAGGTTGGACTTTTTGTTGTTGTCAGAAGATGAAGAAGGTCTTGGTCTTCTGCGACAAAGACTTGACCCCATAGTTAATGCAGTTGATTGGGGGCGTTAGAAAAAAGAAGATTAAGTGGCTTGGAAATATACGCTAACAGTTACAACCAAGTTCCCACTTGCTTTGATTTGAAGATATTCAAGACAGCCATTAAATTAACTCATTGCCCACTTGAACCACTCGGATTTATTTCATGAATATATATACGGTCACTGTTATTCCACATTTAGCATTCAAAAGAATGGCCATGAAGGTATTTAAGTTGCANTAGCTATGTTCATTATGATAAAACTGTCAGGAAAAAAGCACAATTTAGCTATAAAGATTAGAGGATTGGAGCACTTACAAAATTGAAGAGTAACTTTCAGATGCTAATTTCTTCTTCCTCTACTTCTCCTATTCAGCCTTCTCACATTTTTTGGACCCTCTCTTTCGATCAATCTCACAAACCATTGTGGTTGTCCTGTTGAAAACACAATGTAACCAATAGATATGCCAAGTACCAATCCACATCCGTATCCCATCAAGGCAATTTTCCAATCAAACCAACTTGAAAGCATTGTTTTCTTTAAGGACTATTGATGGTGTTGGAGTTGGTGCCTTATCATTGCCGCATCTTTTTGACAATGTTAATCCACACAAACCCAAGTTTTCAATAAAGGAATCGTTTGGAAATGTATCAAATTGCTTTCTTTGAGGTATAGGTCCCACAAGCTGATTGTATGATAAGTTTAGCACTGAAAGAAAAGTTAGACTTGTCAATTGCATTGGAATATTTCCAACGAGCTTGTTGTAAGAGAGATCTAATGCTTCAAGTTGTGTCAAATTTGCCAATGACAACGGTATATCACCAGTTAAGCTATTGTGAGAGAAGTTGAGCAGTATGAGTGACTGTAGCTTTCCAATCACCTCTGGAATTGGTCCTCGAAACAAGTTGTCGGACAAATCTATGGTTGTGAGAATGGTTAGAATCCTATCTATGTCCCTCTCAACTCCTTTGATAGACAAAGTTACTGAATAATATTGGCCATCAAAATACTCCATATATCCGACTTCGACATCATCCATGGACGAAGGCATCATAGCCACAAAATTGTTAAAATAATTTACTGGCAAAGGACCAGTAAATTGATTGTGGGAAAGGTCGAGTATTCTCAACTCAGGGAAGAGAAATGTTGCACTGGAATTGTCAATGGGACCATGAAATCGATTAGATCTCAAAATAATAACTTCAAGGTATGGAAGATTTTCTAGCCAGTTGGGGAAGGTTTCATTAATCATGTTATTCCCCACATCTAGGATTTCCAAAAGGATACAATTATTCAATGATGGCGGTAATGGTCCCTCCAATTGATTGCCATTAAGTATAAGAGCCATCAAATTATTGGGAATAGGAAATGTTAGAGAGTCAAGGCACCATGGAAGTTGTTCATCTCCAAATTCAGGAACATGAGGTGCTTACTAAAGTTTCCAAGACATGGTGGAATTTTTCCGCTAAAACTGTTATATGATAAGTCAATACAAAAAAGAGAGCTCAAATTGCAAAATGACGGGGGATCATCCTGTTAAATTATTGTTTGAAACTGAGACGACTCCATGGAAGTTGCAGAAGCATTAGTTTGCTTGGAGCAAATTGAATGAAAGGTCAAGCTCGTTTAGGTTTCCATTGTGGAAAGTACTCAAAGCTGGTGAACAAAATTGTGAGACAGATCTAACCTTCCCAAAGAGGCAGAGTAAACAACCATGAGGGTATTCTGCCACTTAGAAGATTATGATCTAAACTGAGAAAATTAGATTAGAAAGGACCTAGCCTGACTGGGTAAATGACCCTCGAGTTGATTATCAAAAAAGGATAAAGAAAAAAGTTGTTTGGGTTGAATGATGATGTTGGCAATTGGCTGTTGAGATAATTAGAGCTGAGGTCTATATCAGTTAATTACTGAGATTACCGAAAAACATCAGGAAATGGCCCAGAAAATTTGTGGTCTCGAAGATTAAGATGAGGAGCTGGCCAAGTTTAGATATTGTTGCTGGTATTTGACCAGTAAAAACGTTGGATGACAGATTCAAAAAGTGATTTCAGTAAGGTTTTCGAGTGACGAAGGAAATGACCCAGAAAATTTGTTGTCTCCAAGATTGGAACAGTGAGCGGCCAAGTTTAGATATTGATGTTGATATTTGACCAGTAAAATCATTGGATGACAAATCCAAAAAAGTGATTTCAGTAAGGTTTTCAAGTGACGGTGGAATTGACCCTTCGAATTTGCATCCACCAAGACGCAAATCATTCAAGTGCATCAGATTGCTGATTGTGTAGGTAATCCCTGAAAAGTTTGTGAAAGAGAGGTCCATAATTTAAGAGGATTGCTCCTGTTGAAATTTGGCAAATTACCCGTTATATTTTGATGTCAGACAATCTGAGCAGCTGGAGAAATGGAAATCGGAAAAGCTCATCTGGAAACTTGCTTGCATGTAAATACTCCGAAGACTGAGAGATATCAAAGAAGAAGACAGGTTTCCAAAAGAACTAACTGCAACAGAAGACATGTTGACAAAATCAGATGAAGATATCTTAGTCTGTCATGTTTTGCAAGAGTTTTTAAAACCATGTTGACGCAGTTCAGACTTGTAGAGTAAGAAAGGTTAAGCAAAACAAGCTTAGATAAGTGAAAGATTGCGGTTGGAACTGGGCCATAGAAATTGGATGAAGAAGGTTAAGATTGGTCAATTTGCGAACTGACCAAACCTGGGTGAGATGTTGGATGGAACGAAATTATTGGAGCTAGATTGAGCTCTGAGATGGTGAAGGTGGAAGAGGTGCTACATCGTTGATAGGACCATAAGCCCACAAGAACTTAAGTCAAGTCCAATCACATGACCTGTGAACCTATCACAAGTAACCCCATCCCAATTGCAGCAATCAATACCTCTTTCCAGGAATTTGTCATAGAAAAACTTGAAATCGAAAAGGTGTTCTTGAAACGAAGAAGGGCAGAGCTTGTTCAGGAGAGCAAAATTTCTGTAAGGAGAAGAAGAGTTAAAAGAGGTGAACAAATAACTTGAAGATGGAAAAAACAGAAGAAGAGGCAGAGGACTAGATAATGCCAAAATAATCCCCACACTTTTTCTTTCCAAGAAGAACAAAGCAAATTTTGGATATGGGAAAATGAATATGAACATGTAGATATATATACACACATCCTCCGCATTTCTTTCTCTTTTTTTAGCAATTATTTACAATGCCAATGGGGTCCAACCAGAGTAGAAATTGAATTTACCCCACATCGTCACACCCGACTATTATGGTATATATAGTGGGCTCCCTCCTACATGCCCACTTTATCAACTAGCTTGTTCCCTACTACAAAGGCGAGTGACAATCACCTTTCTTTAATACAATAATGCAAGTATTAGTAATCAACAGAACAAAAGAAAATCTCCCATAAAAATGAGGATTTAACCAAAAAAAAAAAAAATCTAATTTGACAAGAAAAATATATAAAAAACAACACTTGGTTTTTAGTCAGTAGTCTTTTTCTCTTAGCCTGACAGCAAAGAACTTATTTGGGTCAACTAAGAGTTTTCTACACGTTGTATTGTAGGGCCATAAAGTACAATAATCCTGCCCCAACACTTAAGGAGTCGGTATACATTCGCTAATATAGTTGGAAATATGAATGACGTGGGCACGTGGTAGAAGCTTTTTGTCAAGTAAACGCCTCTCTTGGGGCAAAATGTCCCATGAGGTCGACCACCATGGGACCTGCTTTTATTAGGGCCGGGTTGGGTAAGTTATATCCTCTTGGTCTTCCATTACTTCCAAGAACATGTAGGAAGAGCTGTGACATTTTCGGACGCAAAATACCTGTCAAGACTAAAGTCAATATAAATGAATAAGCAACCGGAGGGATTCTAGGATATTGGAATCAAGCAGAAAGGTTATGCGTTTAGTTAAGGTTGGACTTTTTGTTGTTGTCAGAAGATGAAGAAGGTCTTGGTCTTCTGCGACAAAGACTTGACCCCATAGTTAATGCAGTTGATTGGGGGCGTTAGAAAAAAGAAGATTAAGTGGCTTGGAAATATACGCTAACAGTTACAACCAAGTTCCCACTTGCTTTGATTTCAAGAGATTCAGGACAGCCATTAAATTAACTCATTGCCCACTTGAACCACTCGGATTTATTTCATGAATATATATACGGTCACTGTTATTCCACATTTAGCATTCAAAAGAATGGCCATGAAGGTATTTAAGTTTCAGCACTCTTAATCTCACATTAAAATTCAAAACCTACAAACGAACGAAATCTCAACTTAATCAAAGCCTTTTTTTGAACATTAATTAATCAATCTCCGATGGGATAACATAATATATATCATAAGATATGCTAAACCTGAGTTCATGCTATATGGTTCGATCCTAATTCTGTTTATTCATCTCTAATTAGGATTATCTTTTATATATATTAGATTTTACTTAAATATACAAGGACCTGATCAATAATCAGTGTGAAGAAAATAAGAATGTTATAAGTAATTCACTCCACATTATGAAGAATCATGGACAGTTTTAGCTAGACAAATTTCAAATGCTTTTATTTCTCTTTTGTTTGTTTGTTTTTCCTTTTTGTTTCTTTCCTGCAGTTCGGGTTGAGAGAGCAGGACCAGTATGTTATTTAGAAGATCAAGGTCTTGGTTGGTCCTCTTCAACAAAGATTTTGATAAAGTGGGCTTGGGTAGAACTCAAGCCCAAAAGCTAGTTGAAAGGAGGAGAGAGCCCAACCAAGATTTTGATAAAATGGGCTTGGATAAAACTCAAGCCTAAAAGCTAGCATAAATAAGGAGAGAGCCCAATCACATAAATGACGATGTTGGATAAATTCAACTTCAATACCATCCCTTATCGTTCCTCACGCTTGGCGTGCAAGGCCGGGTTCAAACTCATCATTCCCTCAAAGGCAGAGAGAGCTCAACCACATATATGACAATATTGGACAAATTCAACTTTAATACCGTTCCTCACGCTCGGTGTGCAAGGCTGAGTCCAAACCCATCATTACCTCAAAGACATCCAAACAAACGTAACTTTGATACCATGATAAAATGGGCTTGATAGAACTCATCTCCAAAAACTAACTCATGGGAGGAAAGAGTTCAACTACATATATACACCATAACAGCCCACCAACTTGACGATGTGGATCAAATTCAACTTCAACAGATTTAACCCGAGTTTAATGCACGTCAAATTATATTTTACAGCTTAAAATTAATTTCACAGAGAAATTCTACTGAACCTCAACTCCAATTCAGAATACACCTAATAGGGATGGAAATATACGCTAACAATAGTAAGTGAATTGCCACTTGAACATTAATGAATCAAACTGTGAAAAGACAATAGAATGTGAAAGTAGATAGCATCTTCTGCATGCACTTGAACAGATCCTATCACCCAGGAGAGATGTGAATTTCAGCTGGACAAATAAAATCTGAAAGGTGAACAAAAAGGGGAGTTTAGCAATTCAGTATGTAAGTTGTGTGTACCATCATATCTCAAACTTAGCTGAACAAAATATACAGTATATGCATTTGAAGTTGTTCTATATAAAGATGATTGGAGCACTCACCAAATTGACTTAGACAAGCAATTCAGTTACCAATTTCTTTATCTTTTGTATCCATGTCTTCTGTTTGGCCTCCTAGCTTTCTTGGGTCGGTCTCTTTCAACCATCCTTACAAACCACTGTGGTTTTCTTGTTGAGAATACGATATATCCCATAGACAAGTCCAGCACCAATCCACATCCATAGCCCATCAAACTAATTTTCCAGTCAAACTTGGTCGTCGAAACCAAAATTGGTTTAGGCACTTCATTCATGACACATTTTGTTGACAATGGTAAACCACACAACCACAAGTCTCCTAAATAAGAATCATTTTGAAATGTATCAAATTGCTTTCCTTGAGGTATAGATCCCACAAGTTGGTTGTATGATAGATTTAACATTGAAAGAAATGTGAGATTTGTCAATTCTGCAAGAATCTCTCCTACAAGCTTGTTGGAAGAGAGATCTAAAGCTTGAAGCTCCATCAAATTTCCAAATGACGATGGAATATGACCGGTTAAGGAATTGTGAGAAAAATTGAGAAATTTGATTGAATTAAGCTTTCCAACAATATTTGGTATTCGCCCCTGGAATTGCTTGCTTGACAAATCAATAGTCGTTAAAATTTATAAGATATGATGTAGAATAATATTGACCATGTGAACCCATATATTGCGCCGCCCCACCAGTATTATACCTGCTCATCATAGCTTTAAAATTTATAAGATATGATGTTGGCAAATAGCCAATGAAATCATTATGAGAAAG